GCGGAGTAAAGGATGCCACACGGATGTCGCCCGCACGTCCCGCAGCCGTCACACTACTCCACATACATCGTTAGTGGGATCTCCCTCCAGGCAGAGGGTCAGCAGACTGCTCTTATTTCAGAGCTGCAAAGTGGGAACTGGTTGCTCTACATTTCTCGATTTGCATAACAAAAAAAAAAAAAAAGATGGAATCGTGGGTTATCATCCTGCCAGCGATATTTTTCCTTTCTGGACTTCCTCCTCTTCTTATCATATGGGTCTGCACCATGGAGGCTGCTCGATGTCATTAAGAGACAGCCATTACAATGTGACAGGTCGCATCGTGCAAATAAAAAAAAAATTGGAGCCTCGCCAGGCTCGCCTCACTCCTACGAAAATAAAACTTAATGGATGACTCACACCCTACAAAAACAAACTTAATGGATGACTCACACCCTACAAAAACAATCTCCATTAAAATGTCTTTACCCCTGCAAAAACAGTCCGGATGGCGGCCTCACCTCCCTCCCCCCCACCCAACCAACCCCACCCCCCCAAAAAAAAACAGTAACACAAATACCTTGGGAAGACGCGAACAAAGCGGGCAAGAGTTCTGCAAGGGGTGCAGACGCCGATCGGATCGAGTTTAACTTGGGAAAAGAAAACACGACTACTCAAACCACCACTGCTTCCTAAGATTGTGCCCATTAACGAGCCACGATTTTCAGAAACGTACAGGCCACTACAGGAGCCCCCAAATTCATCCGATTAGAAATGTTTCTACTTCATTCTTTTCCACGGCCGACACGATTTTCAGAAACGTACAGGCCACTACAGGAGCACCCATATTCATCCGATTAGAAACGTTTCTACTTTATTGTTTTCCACGGCCGATATCCGGGGCAAGTAGCGGTTGTTTAAGTGGTTCGTGATGACCAGTGCATCGCAAAAAGGCCACTTCGCACCCCAGGTAAAAGGAAAAGATGTGTACATGTATATATATACATTCACAACATTCTGCGACTCGGAGCTACCGCACGACAACGACTGGCACCGCCAGCCAAAAAGAAAAGAAATCACACCCATGCTGACGGGTAGGTCAGCTTGATTGCCTAGGTGGCCCAGCCAGGCAACAGCAAGGGAAGGTCCCTAGCAAAAAAAAAGAAAAAAAAAACAACAACAACAACAACAACAACAACAACAACAACAATAATCGTAAACTGGAGACGACTCGAGTGACTAGTTTGAAACCTATGGTGGGTACAAATCTAAAAGATACGGTGGAAGTAAGTGGCTAAGTGAACCTATGGTGGGTACACAGGGCGGTCGGGATGGTAATGTGAAGAAGGAAAAAGATGAGAGTAATTTCGGAGCAAGCCAAGGTAAGTACGAAGGTGTTGCTCCCTCATTTTTCCCAGGGACATAAGGCCCCAAATAGGTATAAATTGGGCGCACAAGGCTCAGGCAGAAGAAAGGGTAATAGGGGTCGGATAAGATGCTGCACGAGACAGCAACAGGCAAACATAGGGGTTATGCAGCCTGAGGGGCTGTCAATTTTCTGGTGAAAAAAAAAGAAAAAAACAACGAAGAGAAATAAAAAAAAGAACACTATGTTTTGCAGAAAAATTGACTGCACAACTTTTCCCTCAGGGTCATGTCTAGCACACACGTGCCAGTTTGCTTTCTTTTCCGCATGCAGCATAATTTCAGACTCATAACCACCTCGAGTGTAGTGGTGGATTAAAGTTCATTTAACCACCAGTACTTGGCCCAGCTATCAGCCGCGGCGCTTCCCCGTTAACGCGCCGCGCCTGTCGGGCTTCGGGGTACCGGACCACAATGGCTGGAGGCGCCAGCCAAAACAAAGTTGAAACGGCGCCCCCGCGGGTCGGCGAAACTTGGCGCGCAGGGGGTCGGCCGGCTCGGCATCGATAGCTGGGCCAAGTACTGGTGGTTTAAACTCTCCTCATGCATTTCGTTTTACATTTGGTTCAAAAAAAAAAAGGCAAAACTTTCAGGGCTACTTTTGAAGCACAAAGCCAATCTGTTGTACAACTTATCCTTTGACAATGAAAATTTGCAAATGAAACAAGGTCCACCACTCGGTTTCACAATCCGTAGCAAGCGTACAAGAGCTGCGTCCTTGGGTTTTGAATCCTCTGAGGTGCTGTTTCTTGTTTCTTAAATCCCGTCATTTTCCAACCCCTCTTTTTTTGTTTAAAAGGGTGTTCACTGAGTCAAGCTTTCCGTTCCATGCATGCAGCATAGCATATGCTATGCCACTTGTATAGCTTTCCATAAAGCGTTCCATGCACGCAGCCATTCAGGCTTTCGAGCGCTAACTGAAGCAATCCTCAGGTTAAAGTTGACGTCGAGGTCGCCGCGGTTCGAATTCGTGCTTTTGCACGGACGTGGGTCTGAGGCCCAGCTGTACGGATCCGTGACTAGAGTTTCACATGCAACAGCAAGTAGAGCTAGGGAGCCGGTGTAATGGGGACGAATATTTCGCAAACTTTGGGCAGCACCGTTCAAAAAAAAAAAAAAAAAAAAAAAAAACGTAAAAAAAAAAAAGTGTACTTCGATTTTCTTTCCTTTCTGCACCTGACTGTCATCCGCAAATGCAGCCCTTGCTAAATTTACTCTTCTTTATGCCACGAACATTCAGCGGACACTCCTTTCAACCCCCCTTCAACACCCCTTTTTTGTTCCGACCCCTTTTTGTGAACTCCAGAAGGCAGGATTGACTCTCCTGGTTACTTCGTGGTCCCACGCACCTAGTTTTGCCGAACCGGTGGAGGTGCAAAAAAGCCATGACCTTTTTGTTTGGTTGCTGCTACGGTAGCCTGACCCCCATTTTTGGGAACTCCAGAAGGCAGGATTGACCCCCGAAGGGTGTGCATGACACATCCGTCAGGGGTCCGGCTACCGTAGCAGCAACCAAACAAAAAGGTCACGGCTTTTTTGCACCTCCACCGCTTCGGCAAAACTTCGTGCATGGCAGAAATTCGCATGTCAGAAAAGAAACGTCGTCAAGACTTGGTGCTCGGCAGACGTTACGTCGGAAAAGAGAGGCTTCTGCGCTTTTACTACCGTCTTCCCCCCGGAACACCGGAAGATAACGCACCCTGATAATGAATGTATACAAGCTATAGGCACAGCTGAAATTAGGCTGCATTGTGTTCGGGGGGGGGGGGGGGGAAACGGAAGCGGTTTGAAATCATCAATGCCTCGGACGGTATGTTGATGAACCTGAAGTTTTTCCTTCCTTCCACGGCACGAACAAATTTGAACTGGCCACAGATTGATAGCATCGTTGCAATAGGACTATTTCTACTGGCACCTGGACATAATTTTTGTCATTCAGGTCAGATACATCCAGGAAAGCCATCATGTGTGTGCGAGTACACCCCCTGAATCGACATTCAACCGCAGAAGCGCAAGAAGATAGTATCAACGTTCATCAACATACAGGCACAAAGAGAGTGACAGCATGCTGGAACTACGCAGGCCCTTTCCCTGTTAAAAAAAAAGAGAAAAAAAAAAAAAAAAAAAAGAGAATCACACTCACACTAGGGACTTTTTGGATTGACCTCTCTGGACATAATTGTGGTCAGAAATGTCCAGATCAGGCTGTCATTTTCCGGTCACTTCAGGAAGTGACCGGAAGTACTTGTGTGTGTACGCTCTGACTTGAAATTGAAATTCAACCACTGACGAGCTGCAAGATAGGATCAGCATTCTTTTTCTTTCTTTTTTTTGTTTTTTCTTTTTTTTTTGGAAGGACAATGCTCCATTCTATATTCGTGGGGAGCAACACGGCAGGGAACCGGGGCCAGCGTCCCTTATCAGAATACAAAAAAGCGAATGACCGCGGCCATTACGCGGCAACGGCAGAAACAATTGAAAGATGTAAGCCTTCAAAAACATTCATAAATTCACAATCCACTACACAAAATCTACCAAAACAGTAGAGTAGATGTATCAAAAGCCTCCCAAGTTCCAACCACAGCGTTGAACGACATAAAACCACAAACGTTGAGAGAGCATACTCACACTACGACTTCTTCCCCCGAATACAACGTACGATCACTGTAGCTGTATTTGGCGCATCTTTCAGTCTAAAATTCTCTAAATACATCGTAGCTGTATTTAACGCATCTTTCTGTCTAAATACAGCTATAATGATCGTGCGTTGTATTTGGGGAAGAAGGTAGGACTTCTTTGACTGAGCTCTGGACGTCATTGCCGTCAGATGCATCCAGGTCAGGCTGTCATTACGGTCAGATACATCCAGGAAAGTGGTCGTGTGAATACACCCTGAATCGACGTTCAACCACGCAGTTCGGCATTATGGTCTGTAGGAGTATTTGACTGTGTTTTCTTCACATTAATGGGCCTCGCCACACCACTCTCAAAATGTGAACAAGACAAAAATGTAGTGGGTGCATGTGGCCATGTTCTAGCGGGAAGTTCGTTCTCATTTTGCACATTTTGACAGTCGTGTGGCGATGCCTAATATCTCACCAAAAGCACAACAGGAAAGAATACGAAACGAACTAGACATACGCAAATGACCAATATAAGCGAGCGTCGGCTGAAGCTTGAAATGCTGCGAAAAGTGATCATAACGGATTTAATTACACAGACAAGAAAAAAGACTTAAGAGGAAATACAAACCCTGGGTTAAATTTCTGTTTGGATCTGGCCCTAGATACAGTCAGATACATCTGGCATACTCCTTGCTGCAGCAAGTACTACCCCAACAGAACAGAAACAAAGGAAATGGATAACCGAGCGAAGAGATAGCCAGCACACCCGGGAGGGGGGAGGGGGGAGGGGGGAGGGGGGAGGGACCAATGAGAGAGATGAAAAGTGGACGTGTTTCACCTTCGTCCCTCAGTGAAGCAGAAGCCCAATAAGGAGAATCGGTAAGTAAGAGTCGAAAAACAAAAAGAAAGAAACAGGAAACAAAGCAGAGCTGTCTCTTTTTCCTTTCCTTTTTATCCCATTTTATAACATAATTTATTAAATTTTATTTATTATTTTCATGAAAAGTTCACCCATGATCAATCAATCAATCAGAAATCAACGCAGTGGCATTCGAGCACTGCCAGATTTTAAGGACATCATCGAAAGTAGGGTTACCAAAAACGACCCCTCTTTTATCAAAATTCTCGCAAAACACTCCATTCCCCCTTACAGCACACCCCCCCCTCCCCTCGCCCGAAATCTTACCGCTCAGCACTTCCTTCCAAGCAGACGCTTAAAATACTTCACATGATGACAAATGAGAAAATGGGGGTGTGGATCTTGCCGCGACTTGCACATCATAATGATGGATATCCTACACCCCTACAATTTGCAATTTTGCACAAATCAACAAGATTCCTCAGGCAGACAATAAGATCAAGAAAGAGTGCAGGGTTCTAAACAAAAAAAGGAAAAAAAAAGAAAAAAAAAAGAAAAGAAAGAGTCGCATGTTAGTTAACTGGGCACCACTGCTATTGTGAAGTACCGTCTTCACCCGAATAGAACGCCCGGTAATTATCGCCGTATTTGGGCTGAAAGTTGGGCCAAATACAGCTACTATAATGACCAGGCGTTCTATTCGGGTGAAGACGGTAGCACAAGGGACAAACCAGGGCAGACACAGCAGAAGGGATGAGACGAAGAAAATGGCCAAAGAGGGAATGATCCGCAACAAGGAGCTAAGGATGGAGGGAGGGGACCGAGGAACGAGCAGAGTGAAGGAGCAGAGAGGGAGGGAGACGGGGAGAAAGGGCCAGAAGCAAGCGAAGGGAGGGCGGGGAGAGAAGGAGAGAGGGCCGGAAGCAAGGGAGTGGAGAGAGGGAGTTGGAGGGAGGAATGAACAGATGGACAAACAGGCAGTCAACGGAGGGAGGGAGGGCTGGAGCGAGGAACAGAGCGAGGGAGGGATGGAGGGAGAAACGAAGGGAGGGAGGGAGGGACGCAAACAAGGGAAGAGGGATGGAGGGAAGGGGCGGACGCAGGGCAGGAAGGGGAGGGGAGGAAGGAACAGATGGACGAACGGGCGATCAGACGGACAGATGAACAGGCAACAGGCAACAGGCAGTCACACAGACGTGCACACAGACAGACAGACAGATAAACGGACAGACGTACAGATGGACAGACGGACGGACGGACAGACGGACGGATAGAGGGGCACCAAAGGTTGCCACATTCATACTAAGTATTCCCCCACGAGTGCCAGCGCCCATACCATAATTTTGAGGAAGTGAACGCGCCCGGGGAAGGAAARAACAAGGAAAAAAAAAAAAAAAAAAAAAAAAAAAAAAAAAACTGGCTTCAATGGCCCACCACAGACTAGGACGCCACCAAACTACCTAAACATGGAAAAAACTACACACGAATCAAACGGCGAAGTGACTGTTGAAACGAGGAAAATCGACCGAAAAAAACAACAACGAAAAACAAAAAAAAAACGTCGAAATAAGAAACACCAACGAAACAAGCACAAGACGAAGGAAAGGTAACAAGACAAGTCCCAAAGTTGGGATCCAAAGGTAAGAACAGCCACTGAACAGAGAAAAAAGGGAGTTTGAAGCATTATCTCATCATTATTGTGAGCATTTATCTGATGGGGGAAAAGCACAGAGGAAGTCAGGAGCTGCTGTCTCTCGCCAAGGCGCGTGTATTCATGCCGCTACATCGTTTCTTGAGATGGCTTCCTTGCCGCATCAGCCGCTGCTTTCTCTGCCTCGATACTTTCGACGATTGCGTCGACCTCATCCTCTTGAAGCACCTTCAGTCCATCCAATGTCATCACTGCAATCTCAATGTTTCTGCCTCCACTCTCTACAACCTGAAAGTCACAGAGAGCAAAGAGATGGAAAAAAAAAAAAACAAAAAACAAAACAATTTCAGCCTTCGGGGTCGTATTGAACCCACAGCAGTGATTATATCCAGCTCCTCCTTTCACGGCATATACTCACACCACGACTTTCCTATGGATGCATCTGACTGCAATTCCAACCCGTCCAGCATGTACGTGGTCGCAATTACATCCAGAGAAGAGTCAAAAAAAAGTCCTTGTCCGTGTACACACCCTCAAACTGCCCACATCATTTCCTCCAAACGTAGCTCGTCACTCGCAATATCAACATTGTTTCATCAAACTCTCCACACCACAGAGAAGGTCTAGAAGGGCAGCACTACCACTTGACGATACCGAGAACTCGAACAAATCAGCCTCCTCCTCCTCTTCAGTCGCAATCACTCAGCCTCCTGTTCACTTCATAATCGCAACGACGTAGTCACACTGGTACAGAAGTAGGCCTCAGTCGCAGATCTCGATTGCAGGGCGGCTCCAACTCTGCCACACCATCTCAAGCTGGCCCAGGCCAAGGGTGTGAGCTACACGTGCGTGGTATGCCTAGTGATAGGTCATGCCTGAAAGCAGCACGCGAAAGTCGAAGAACGGCTTCGATGAAGCAGAAGCGCGATTCAGCAAGATTATTAATGAATGCTTCCCCCTCCATAGGGTCCTCCTCCTTCCATTGCCTATCATCCATCCAAGGCATCGACTTCCCCATATATCATTCCGTTGCACGCACAAGGTGCGCAACCGAACACACAGCATAATCAGAGGAGATCTTTCTGGTGCAACAATCTTACCTTCCTTTTCAGCGCATCCGGAAAGATGCAATCACCCAGAGAAGACAGCACAGCACAGATTTCTAACAGCACAGATTTCTAACAGAGTCAAATATTTTCACTCCAACAAGTCGGCGGCAGAGCCATCCATTACTTCCAGTAGGTGGAGACAATGGGAAACGGCATCCAGGTATATGGAGAAGTTGACGCCTTACAAGTTCGACCTGCACGTAGCTGTGCATAGGCCCAGGTGCATTCTGCCCACAGTTTTTGCGCTCTGACAGGTCGACGAAGGCACCATAGGAGAACAGCATCCAAGCATATGAAGCAGAAAAAAAAAGAAAAAAAAAAGGGGAAAAGTAGACGAACGGCAAGCTCGGGTTTGCAAGTGCAAAAATGGCCTAGTCAGAATGCATCTGGCCGTAGAGATGCCCAAGTCCGACCTGCACCTAGCTGTGTATAGGCCCAGGTGCATTCTGCCCACATCCAATTTGTCCACATCAAGCACGAACACCGTTGGCAATCACCCTTATAGCACAGTTCCATCGAAATCCATACGCTCCGAGGACTGCGGTATCGCAGCTGCTGCCCACCAAAGACCCTGTCCAGCCTTCGGGACATCCGTTAAAATTGGAACGACGCAGACAAGATCCATCCGCGTAACACCTGCACGAACGTGCACCCAAAAAAAAACGAAGAAGACCCCACATACTTGGCATTCATAAGCCCAAACTATCTTTCACATCCCTTATACATACACTTAACTCCTCCTCCTCCCACTCACAGGCAAACTCCCTTCTCCTCCCACTCCCTGGAGGCTTCTTCCCCCTACTGCACCAGCGACCTACTGACGCCTAGAACGTCATTAACACCTCTTAGTTCAACACTGCCACCCTCTACTCACAGCCTTCTACGTCGGGACAATACAGCAGCAGCGATGCAGGTGGTGAGCGCTCGATAACATACGTCAGAACTCAGAACCACTTTACTTGTGCAAGAGCTGCGCCTCTGGGTTGCCGAAAGAGAGGAACAGCAGCACCAGCTTGGCGGCCTATTCCTCCTCAAGGACAGCGAGGAAGCGACGAACAGCTCAGCGCACGTATATTCAGGCTGTCATGCAACTTATTGCCCCTCCCCCCCCCAGCCCTGGAGAGTGGCAGAGCTGATGCACACGCAGATACTAGCGAGACACCAAACATCCAGAGAGCAGATCCACAGAGAAAAAAAACCTAGACTGGGCAGGGCAATGGGTAGGAGAAAAGGCGCAAGAGGGGGTGCTTGAGAACGAGCCCCCCCTCGCATGTGCACGACACACACACACACACACACACACACACACACACACACACACACACACACACAGAGTTCTCGAGCCCCCATCGCATGCGCACGACACAGAGAGAGAGAGAGAGAGAGTTATTGAGCCCCCCTCGCATGCCCACGACACACAGACACAGACACACAGACACACAGACACACACACAGAGAGAGAGAGAGAGAGAGAGAGAGAGAGAGAGAGAGAGAGAGAGAGAGAGAGAGAGAGAGAGAGAGAGGATGTAGTCTTGTACCTCTAGCAGGGCCCGCACGGCCAGTTTGATGGTGGCATCACCGCTACTCTCCTCATAATGCTTCTCCAAGAATTCTCTGACGGTCTTAGAGTTTCTGCCAGTTGCATTTGCCTTCCATGCAGAGAATGTCCCAGAGGGGTCCGTCTGAAACAGCTGTGGTTGCTTGGTGTGGGGATCAAAACCCACAATTAGTGTGGATATGCCGAAAGGCCTCACCCCTCCACTTTGCGTGTAGCGCTGTTGCACGCCTGCAATGTAGCGCGTTATGTACTCGATTGTGACTGGATCTTCGACAGTCAGTCGGTAGCTCTGGCACTCCACTCGCGCCCGATTAACAAGAACGCGAGCATCTGCCGTCAACCCGGCAAAGGCCAGGCATACATGCTCATCCAGTTTGTGAATCTTGCGAACCGTCCTGCCATCCCATCATCATCCGCCACGAGAAGAGAAAACCCCACCTCCCCCACTCCATTCCACCCCCCCACAATCCCAGTTCAATCAGGTGAGCCCATGTCCCCATCGACCATCAAGTAAGCGGAAGCACAGATCATCATCCCCAACTCCACACATACAGACACACACAAAAGCACAAACAGAACGATGCCCACCATACACACGCCTGGTCAGAAAGACGAAGACATGAGCTTGCAAACTGAGGGCAGATAATCGAGGTCGGCACAATCTAACAACTTCAACAATGTTATTCTTTTTTCTTTACATGTTAATTGCCTTGATTCAGATCCACGTTGATTGATTGATCGACTGATTGATGGATTGACTGATTGATTGATTGATTGATTGGTTGGTTGGTTGGTTGGTTGGTTGGTTGGTTGGTCGGTTGGTTGATTGATTGATTGATTGCGTGAGTGATTGGTTGGTTGATTGATTGATTGATTGGTTGGTTAATTGATTGATTGACTGGTTGATTGATTGATCTTCCATTCCCTCCCCCCACCCATTCCCTGCCCCCTGATATTCCCTCCCCTCCCATCTTATCCCTTCCCTTCCCCTCTCTCCCTTCCCTTCCTCCCTTCCTCCCTCCCGTCCTTCCACCCCTCCATCCTTCCGCCCTCAGTTGGCCATCCGCCTTGCAAAGTCTGCCCTCAGTAGGCTTATCAAGTTGCCGTCACTGTCCTCGATCGGAGATGGTCACTAAGTTTGATTCCCTACCCTCGAAAGTTCATTTCCCTACCCTCGCTCGGAGGCTTATGGAGGCTTATTCCTAAGTTTGTATCCCTAAAATGAACTTAACAAGCCTCCCACTGAGGGGGGGGGAATTACCTTAACAAGCCTCCCACGGAGGCTCGGAGGCTTATTTAAGTTTATTTTCCCGCCCTCGGCTGGAGGGACTTGTTGAGCAAGTTTATTTCCCCGCCCTCGGAGGCTTATTAGGTCAGTTTATTTTTTTCCGGCCATCGGCCGCTGACTTCTAACTGTAACTTCTCTTTCCCATGCCGTCAGTCGGAGGCTTATTGCAGTAAGCATTTACTTTCCCCCCCTCAATTTTCTCACAAGGCGGCTGCTTCTGCAAAGAAGGTCAAAAGGACGCGGACCAAGTGAGTTCAATCAATGCTGAACCGTTAGGGCATTACACACAAGCACGTAGAGCTTTCTGCATGTACGTATCTGATCATCTTTACGGCCAGATTCTTTGGTTAATAAAGTTCCGACTGTGCCAACTACCTTATTCTCTCTCTCTCTCTCTCTCTCTCTCTCTCTCTCTCTCTC